TCACAGAGGCCCACCTCTCCAGCTTGTCCAGGTCCCTTCAGGTGACATCTCGTCCTTCTGGTCTCCATGTGGACATCGAGCCATTGACCATGACCCTCTGGACGCAACCATCCAGCCAATTCCTTATCCATTGAACAGTCCACCATCAAACCCATATCTCTGCAATTTAGAGAGAAGGATGTTGTGGGGGACTGTGTCGAATGCTTTACAGAAATCCAAGTAGATGACATCCATTGCTTTTCCCTTGTCCAGTGATGCAGTCACTCCTTCATAGAAAGCCCCTAGGTTGGTCGGGCAGGACTTGCCCTTGGTGAAGCCGTGCTGGCTGTCTCCAATCACCTCCCTGTCCTCCATGTGCTTGAGCATAGCTTCTAGGAGGATCTGTTCCATGATCTTCCCAGGCACAGAGGTGAGGCGGACAGGTCGATAGTTCCCAGGGTCCTCCTTTCTTCCCTTTTTAAAAATGGGCACAACATTCCCCTTTTTCCAGTCAGCAGGGACTTCACCTGATGGCCATTGACTTTTCAGATGTCATGGAGAGTGGCTTGGCAACTACATCAGCCAGTTCCCTCAGGACAAAATCTACGCCATCTTGACTTTATGGTGTGCAACATGGTGCTTTCAAACTTCATGTGCACAATATTTGAACAGTACTGTTCGGAAGAAATCAAGAGGCTTATCTATTGGTCTTTTTGGGCATTTTAGAGAGTGTTTTTCTTTAATATTATTTGTTATTTTAGAATATTTTAGGTTTTTTCCTTCTGATTTAGGATTTGAAACTTGGTGAATAATTATTATGTTTTTAGTCTTTAAAATGATTGCTTAATTGTATAAATGTTCAAACCCATTAGTTACTGTTATATAATACCAGTAAATATAGTAAATATATTTATGTAAAGTAATGATATGACTTAATGCTTTAATCAAAATATTTTGTGTTGACAGAGAAACAAATTCCATGGTTGAAGAGTTCATGTTGCTTGCCAATGTCTCCGTAGCCCAAAAAATTTACGATGAGTTCCCAGAGTTTGCCTTGCTCCGGAAACATCCTGCTCCTCCCCCATCAAATTATGATATCCTTGTGAAGGCAGCAAAGTCCAAGGCAAGTTTTTACCATGCTAATTAAGTTAATTAATTATAAAAAGCTGTGTCTTCTTTCTGGTTGGCCACTTACCCAAGAATAAGGGTTGGAAAGCAGTATTTTGAAAATGTATCAGCTACACTTTGAAATTGCTGATATCTGTACCTCTCGATGAAAGGAAGACTCTTGTGCTTTTTAAAAACCCTTTCTTAGGTAAAGAAAGCAAATCACTCTTTTAAGTCTTTTGTATTGTAACTGTTGTGTGCTGTGAATGTTTCTCCTCTCCAAGCCACGTGGGATTTTTGAGCCAGTTTTTGGCTTTGGATCACATAAATTATTGATGTACTTAAAAACTGGTTAGTCACATCAAATAACATGTCTCTCAAGTCAGGAAGTAAGAACATGTGTTCATATGTGTTTATAGTTTCCATCCTCTCCTTAGATCAGCTAGAGGTTAATTTAGCCTGAAACAAGCCTGATTTAATTAACAAGTCTGAACTGAAAAATTATTTTTCCAGTTTCAAGATTTTTTATTTGAGCTAAACTTTTAAAATTAACTTTCTAGACATTGTGATGTGCATTCATAT